CTCCCTCTTCCCTCCCCCTCCCCTGCCCTCTCCTCCTCTTCCCTCCCCTCCCCTCCCCTTCCCTGGCTAAAAGGAGAACTACCCCTTCTGGTGCCCTGGCCTCTGGACCAGTCCCTCCCTCCCCAGTGAATGTCCTCCCTCCTCCTACTCCATCTGTCAAGATCTTAGGTGCTCTCAAAGACCAGAGCCCAGGACAGCTGTGGGTACCCCTGCCCACCAGGCCAGGGGGGCATCATTTCAGCAGAACGCGGCAAAGGTGGACACGGGATGCCTAACCTGCCGGAGCAGCTTCTAGGGCCTGGCACGGGCCCCTCCTGCTCTCCCCAGCCTCTCCTGGCCCAGCCTGCTGTGCATCCCTGGGAGCTGGGCAGGCAGACACTGAGCACCTCTTGTGCCCAGCACGGCCTCTGCAAGCCCTGGCCCAGCAGGAATGGGGTTCGCACAAATACTGTGCACATGGGTCCATCAGCAACGTTCACCGGCTTCATATGAAGAACATATGGATTATGCATTTAGAATAACACAGTGCCTTGAGAAGCAGAGATGTGGCATACTCGGCCCGTGCACCCCCCGGCGACCCCCCCCCCAAGTACTACTGCCATCACTCTTACCTCCTGTGAGATTGATAGAGTCCCAGGACCAGAGGGCAGCTCTGCTCAGTCTAGGCTACATCGTCACCTGCAGGGAGGGGGACATCAAGTGATCCTGCAGAAACTCAGCTCCTTTTCCAGAAGCCCTATCCCTGGAATGACCACGCCACTGTGACAAAACTGAATTACCAGGGGATGCTGGGAATGTGGCATCAGCCACCCCACCGGGGTCAGGGGTCCCGCAAAGCCTGAAAAGCCCCTCATCCTGGTCTAATTTCCGCTTTGGACCTTCAGTACCTTCTTACATTTGGGGTTCAGTTCAGGACATCAAGGCTTTTTTACTGGGGGGAGCTTTTGGCTTCTGAATTCCACCCTTGGTGTTTGGACGTTTTTAGAAGTGACCGCAAGCTCTGGGAGTGCTGGGGGGTGGGCGCTGGGTCTTCCCTGGTCCCTGGCTTGCGAGGGGAGCTGTGCCATTCCCATCTACTGTGGGCTTGGGGATGCCTGAGGACCTTCGAGGTGCCCACCCTCCCTCCCCAACAGCACAATGGGGGCACCACCCGCTCAGGGCTCAGCCAGGTGCACGTGTGCCTGGTCCCGACACTTCAGATAAAATCTTTACTCCAGAGCCAGAGTCCTCTCGGGAAAAGGCAATTTTTCCACAATCATTTCTTCATAAAGCTGATGGAAGGCAGTTCTCCCTCCCTTTCCCCCTTCCCCCTGCCTTCTCTTACTCCACTGGCCCCACTGTTCTGGCTCCTTCCAACAGGACCTGAGACAGGGCCAGAGGAAAGGGTCATGGCGTTACTTCCCCGGGCTTCCCTGCCTTCCCAGGGCGTGACCCTGGCTGAGGGGCTTTCCGGTTTCTCCCACATTGTGGCACCGCTGGAACAGGTGCTCTGGCCAGCGTCACTGTGAGGGAGGACATGACAGCTGACCCAGACGAAGCGCTTTCATGGAGCTGCCCTAGGAAGACTGCATCTCCCCGGTACCCTGGCACACAGTGTGGAGGGGTGGGTACTCCTGCTCTCCGTGTACCAGCTCAAAGGAGGCAGTTCACAGCAGCTCCTCTGCTGCCTACTATACCTCCCCTCTCCCCACCCTGGCCTGGGCCATCCCTTCACTGGAGGCCTGCCCACGGTGATCCTGCAGCCTGGGCACCCACATTCCACTAGAGGGGCTGTGTCTGGGCACCAGACTCCAGGAACACCACGTAGCCAGTGACGAGTCTGCAGGAGGGGCCAGCCTCAGTTTCCATTAATCTGCTGTTATCTGTTTTTGGGAACCAGGAGACCCCAAGAGTCCTCCCACCAGAAAGGACTGGAGCATTAAAGATCTTGCTTCTCGCTCTTCTCTTGTTCTACGTGTGTGTGGGGGGGCGGGCAGAGAGATGGAGAGAGAGAGAGAGAGAGAGAGAGAGAGAGAGAGGAGGGAGGAGGGAGAGGCAGAACAGGAGGCCGGCTGTCTGCAGCCCGGCAAGCAGGCCTGCCCAGGGAAAGCCGGGTGGCATAAATCGCATGCATAATCTCAGGAGACCACCACTTTAAATCTTAATTGGTTGCCTTTTAAATATCATTTAAGGGCTGGCTTCTCTGCCTCTCTCTCTAGTTAAGAAGGTGTCGTGTCAAACTCTATTACCTTGCTGGATGTCTCTCCCTTAAGTTTAAAAAAAAAAGGGGAAGGAAGGGAAGAAAAAACAAAGAAATGGAGGCATCAGCGGTGGATGGAGGGTCGATAAAGCTTTTAGATTTGGAGACGTTTACCGGGAGCCCATTTCCCGCGGCTAAGAGTTGTTAATGGAGCTTAAGGAATTATCTCAGACTGGGCCGGCCAGGAGCGCCGTATATTTCCCGCGCCTGTTCCCCTGTCGGGTCTGGATATGCTGCTGTCAGACTCGCTTAATGAAAAGTAACGCGCCGCTGATTACAGTTTTATTTGGGCTCTATGTAAAGAGCGCCGTTAATTTAGCATCCCTTCCTCGGTGTGTTTGAATTGGCCACGCCTGAATGGCTGAGAGCGCGGTCCCCAGCGCTCCTCTTCGCCTCCAGCTCCTTCCCTGACAGCCTCCCAGGGAGGGAGATGGGGCCCCTGCCCCCGACCGCGACCTTTCCCCGAAGCATCAACTCTTGAAATCCAGGTCTGGTCCCAACTCACTCCTTGGGTGAGTGCAGGTGCCCGGTGGCCAGCCTCCCTGAGGGGACACAGGCCAGAGGGTGGGTAAGGGTGCCCACTGCAAGCCTTCCAGAGTTTATTCCTCCCCCAAAGGGAAGGAGGAGGTCGAGGTGACAGCCCTGCTGTGTGGCTGAATCCTGTCCCCCATCCCGCCCCCCCCCCCGCCCATCCACGTGATGTCTTTATTTTGCACAATTTTGCAGATTAACCGAATAAATCTCTCCTGGTCAGTGGACCAAGATCTGAGGGCTTTGGCAGGGCAGGTCTGCGGGCACAGGCCTTGCCCAGAGCCTGAGGTCCCCAGGGTAGCGGGCTTGGGCAGCAGCCAGAGGCCTCGGGGGCCTGAGCTGACCTGGGGGGCAGGGGTGTCCAGACCCAGAGGCCGCCGGCAGCCAGGGGCCCAGGCGCGGCCCCACCCCGCCGCGATGCCTGCCTCCGCGAAGCCTGACTTTTGCAGGAAACGCCTGGCTTTGTCTGGGGCTGGGGCGGGGGCGCCGAGCGGCCGCCCTCGGGCCGCATTAAAATTCCTGGCGCCCCGGCCGCGGCCGCGACGCGTCTCCCGCGAGACTCCACTTTCGCTATTACTGTCAAGTACCCTTGACTCTTTATTTTTGCCCTTTTATCTATTACAACTAATTCGAGTTCTTTTGCCCTTTTCAGTGTAAGACGTGGGCTTTCTGCAAAGCCTCCCCCTGCCAGCGAGCTCTCGGAGCGCGGAGCCTTTAGAAATTGAGGGGTTTACTGTCAAAATGAAAATTTCACTTCAAATTATCTTGGCTGATGCTCGCTCGCCAGGCCGGGGGCTCCCGCCGCAGCCTTTTGACAGGCACATCAGCGGCGAGCCTCCGAATCTCGATAATATCATCCAAGAGAGCGAAAGTCAATACGGTGACAGCGCGCGGGCGGATACAATCCAATTACCGCGCGGTCCGGCCGGGCCTGGGGCTGGGAGCCTGGGGCGGGGCCACCCGGGGCGGGGACTGCCTGCCCGGGTCGCTCCAGGGCTGGGGTCCGCGGTCCGGCCGGGCCTGGGGCGGGGCGCCTGGGGCGGGGCCACCCGGGGCCGGGACTGCCTGCCCGGGTCGCTCCAGGGCTGGGGTCCGCGGTCCCGCCCGCAGGGTCGGGGCCCAGCACTCAGGTGCCCGGCGCACACACGGGAGCTGCCTCCGGCTGCGCTGCGCTTCCCTCTGCCGGTGCCACCTCGTCCCAACGACCACCCTCCCCCGCATCAGGCCCGTTGACAGCGCCCCCGGCCTGCCCGGAGCCTCGCCCCGGGGCCAAACCCCACAGGGCTCCAGTCCAGGCCCCGCCACGCGCGCCCCTCGAAGGCTGCCGCCCGCCCGTCCGCGAGACGACCCGCGCTCCAGCCGCGCTGCCCCCTCCGCTGCCCCCTTGCAGGTCCTTGGCGTAGGCGGCCCGTCCTCCCTCGGGACACCTGGGGCTGTAAGGTGGCCCAGTGGGGCCTCAGGCCGAGCGCTTGCAGGCGGGGGCGAGTCCGAGTGGGCCCCGTGATGGGGCCAGGCGCCCGCGGGCGCGGAGTCCTCCGAAGCCAGCGAACTGCGCCCTTCCTGCACCTCGGAGATGCGGGCCGTCCGCGGGCTCCGCTCCGAGGGGTGGGGCTGGGGGCCGGGGTTTAGCAGCAAGCGCAGGGGGTTGGAGCGCGCTGGAACTCGGCGAGGCGGGGCAAGCCGGCGGCCACCCTCCCTCCCCTGCCCCCACCCCAGGCCTAGACTCCCAGCCCCGCCCCATCCCTGCGGCATCCTAAGCGCTTCCCGCCCCCCCACCCTCCACCCCCCACCCTTCAAGGCGCGGCCTAGGGCTCTGGGCCGACGTTGGGGTCGCGGCTGCAGGTCCCAGGAGGGAGGTCCCCGAAGAAGGGCCTCAGGGCATGGATGGCCTCCCTCCTCGCTCTCCCCTCAACACAGTGCCTGGGAATTCAGGAAGTTTAAAAGTTATTCTAATCTAGCAAGAGGAACTCCCATTTTCTCAAAATTTGGAGTTTGGTATAATGGGGGAGAGTTTAACAGTCCCCAGCCTCTCATCCAATTCCACTCGAGTTCAACAACCTGGAATATACTGTAACTCTTCTTTTGAAAAACAGCTTTATAGAGCATCTGGGGCTCTGCAGCAACTTCCGCGGGACTCTGGGCCAAGGACCCTGCTCCCGCTCACTCCCTTGGGGATTAGCACCTTTCCTCCCGCAGAGACCTCCAATCCCGGGCTGGAAACGTGTTCATGTTGCAATGCAAACACCATCACTCGGTTTATTGGTTTTGTTATATTAGCCTCTGAAGCAGGCAATTATTGGTGTGAACATACATTTAAAAAAAAACATAATTTTATCGAGTTAAGAGTGTGCAATAGTGTGAACGAGGTGGAGTGCTGTTGGCAAATGTGCGGAGGATGAGATCAGGTCCCCAGGCTGAGGAGTCTTCCGGGAGGAACGCTGGCATGCCTTGAACCCGAAAGGAGACAGCAAAACAGCCTCAGAACGGAAATGTCTTCTCCATGTAAACTTTCAGACGTAAACTTTATGCTTAGGGTGGCTCCCTTCTGCTCTGTGAGCAGCCCTATCCATGGGTCTCGGAGTTTGGAAATGGCCTGAACTAGTGCATGTCCAGGTGGGGTCCGTGGACCTGGCAAGACAGCTCAGGCGGCTGGCGTGTAGCCTGGAGAGGCCGAGTTCAGCTCCTCCCTCTACGGTGGCTTGGCTGCCTGAACTTTGCCACGCTCTCGTCCTGCTTTGGAAACTTGGTAGAAAAAGAGTCTGCGACCCACAGGCCTGCAGCCCCAGCATGGGCTCCTCCTCCTCTGCTCAGGGGCAGAGGCCAGCCAGTTAGGCGCAGAAGGGCTTGCCTCCGGCCTTCGGGAGGGCCAGCAGCTCCTTGGCTGCACCTGAGGCCGGTGCATCATGGGGTGCAGCAGGAGGGAAAGTGCGCGCCAAGGGTGTCGTCAACACGTTGGCGCCTGCCCCCAGGGAGCGTCCCAGCGGCCCTGGGTCCAGGAGGGCGCCCTTGGCGGTGGCCCAGGCCTGGTTCAAAGTGCTGTGCCTGAGAATGGGGTCGTGAAAGACCCCATCCACCCAGTTTCTGAGACTGGTTACCGGGGAGTCCTGGTGCCTGTCCAGGGCACCAGTAGGGGCCGGGGCCGCAGGCGAGGATGAAGCAGGAGCCAAGGAAGTGGCCGCAGGGGCCGCAGTGCCTTGACGCTTGAGCATGCAGGATGGAAACTCAGTCTGGCTCAGGGCAGTGGCAGCCGCAGTAGCAGTGTGTGCCAGGGACCAGATGCGCGGCTTGGCCTCCAGGCCCGCCGGGGCCCCAGCCTGTGCAAAGCCCAGCTTGGCCTCACAAGCCTGCGAGCCGCCCCCTGCGCCGGGCTGCTGCTCTGGCCCAGCCGCTGTGGTCCGGAGGCAGCTCCTGGCTCTCTCCATGTCCTGGTCCAGCGCGGTCCCGCCACCGGCGGCCAGGGGCATCCGCAGGGTGCCCGAGGCCTCCTTCCCAGGGGCGCTTGGACCCTCGGGTGCCGCAGGGATGCGCTCCAGACCGCCTTCCAGGGGCTGGAAGGGCGGCTTCAGCTCGCACTCGTGGGGCTCCCCCTCCAGTGGGTCGAAGTCCTCCAAGTCGGTGAGCTCTAGATCCTTCTCCTCTTTGCCCAGAGACTCTGCACAGGATAGAGGGAGGGGCCAGTGCAGGAAGAGAGGAATGTGTGTAGCAGAACCCCACTAGTCCTTCCTAGCTCTGTGCCCCTGGTTATGGGGCAGACCCTGGAGCTAGGAAAAGCACCACAGCCCTTCCTTGTACCTCCCACCTGCTCCAGATGCTCCCTATCCCCCAGGAGGGTACACGGGAGACTCAGGGAGTCCCTCCTCAGATTCAGGGTGGGCATGTCTCAGGTTGTAGATGCCCCTTTTGGGCTTCTTGAAGCCTGCTCCCAGTTCCAACTGCAGGCCCCCTGGGCTCAGGGCCTCTCTGGGCCACCTCATTCATTTGCTGCCCAAACCCTCACAGTTTGCTTTAACTACCCCAGATTCAGTGTCTTTAGAGGTCTTAGCACCCCAAAGAAGGCACAGGGAGTCCCGACCTAATCGCCAAGCTCCCACCCACCTTCATTCTTGGTGTTCTTGAGGGGCTCCTCCCTGGTTTCCTCCTCCACCCCTTCTTCCTCCTCGCCCTCTGCATAGGGTCGCTTCTCGTCTGCACATTTGTTCCTTGGCGGCCATGTCATCTTATTCTCTTTCTTGAGGCGCCGGCGTGCATTGGCAAACCAGGTGGACACCTGCGTGAGGGTCATCTTGGTGATGATGGCCAGCATGATCTTCTCGCCCTTGGTGGGGTAGGGGTTCTTGCGGTGCTCCTGCAACCAGGCCTTGAGCGTGCTGGTGGTCTCGCGCGTGGCATTCTTCCGCCGCGTGCCGCTGTCCATGGTCCCGTACCTGGGGACAGGCTGGGCAATGGGGCGCCGGCCGAGGCCCTTGTGGTGCCAGCGGCCAGAGCAAGGCCCATGCAGGCTTCAGCCTCATCATGGGGTAAGACCTGGGCAGGACCCAGGCCCTGCCCTTTGCCACTGCCCATGCACTGCTTTCTGTGGCCCCAGAAAGTGAAGATGCTTATGTTTGATTAAACTTAAAAGGAGCCTGGCTCTTTCCCAGCCAGAATGGTCAGGAGTGGAGTGGGGGCTCAAAGCCTGGCCAGGTCTCTGTCATTGTCACTACCTAGACATCTACTTCTTTGGGTTCCTTTATGAGGTGTCTCTCCTACCCTTCTGATCCACAGACCAGGAAAGCACATCGTAGAAGTGTGAGACCAACTGTATAACACCCATGGGCAGAAGCGGTCATTAGTGCCCACAAAAAGAAAATGCCCAGATAGCCTATGGTGGACTTTCTGCAGTTAGTTCCTAATTGTTCCCTCCTCTCCCCAAGGTGGGCCATGCTGTCTTTGAGTGGGTCCCACTGGACTCCCCCTTCCAGTTCTCACCACAGGGGAAGGTGGATGGGGGTCCCACACACCCACATGGGCTGCGCATCTTGGGTTGGGGCAGGTGTCGGAAGCCTGGGCAATAAGACCTGCCTGCTCAGGGAAACCACATCACAGCAAGGGCTTTGGGAGTCCAGACAGTGGGCTGGGGGTGGGGGTGGTGGGGACACACCTTACCCCTGTGGAGCATGGTTTGCCTAGGAGGTGGGGTTGGACCGACCCAAGGTCATCGGGAGCTGGACCAGAAAAATGTCCCTCCTCCTACCTCCCAACTTTTTCTAGGGGGTGTGGAGCTGCGGTGGGGCTGGTGTGTGTGGGTGATTCTGACGGCTGATGGAGCCCTGCGGCCCAGTGCAGGGCATGCGAGGACTTCTGTCCCTCACCTGTCGTAGGGATACTGGCCCAGCGCCGGCTCGTAGGGGTAGTAGGCAGCGGCCGCGGCAGGCGCCAGGCCCGCATGCGCAGATCCAGGCCCATCCTTGGAGTCGAAGCCGTTCTGTAGGATCCCAGGAGCCTGGGGTCGAAGCTTCCTGGAGGCGACCCAGCTCGACCCCACCCCCTCCCCCACATCCCTCTGCTCCCGAAAGCCCGGCACAGACCCTGGGCAGCCTCACCAGCCACCCCGACTGTTCCCGACTCTCTCTAGGGCCCAGGGAACGTTCGGGTAGGGGGAATGGGGAGGAGGGGTGAGAATGAGATTAGAGGAATAATGGGGCAGAGAAGAGGGTAGGGGGCTAGGACGACAGCAGAGGAGAGGAGGGTGAGCAGATGGCTGGGAGAGAGGGAGAGGTGGAGCAAAAGGGAGGTCCGGAAGGGGTTGAGTGGTGGGGGTTGGGAGGAGAGGGAGAGAGAGACCCAGAGGAGTGAGGATAGGGGTTGTGGAGACGGGGAGCAGGGGCTGCCCTGGGCCATGGTGCTGTGGTCAGGCTTGGGGGGTTCCCCGCCCAGGGGCCTGGAGGGGTTCTGAGCAGCCAGGCGAGGAGGTGTACAGGTGAAGCAGCAGCGAGGGGGTGCTTCTCCCACCCCTACAACCTGGGGTCCAGGGCACCGGCGCCCCAGACTCCAGAGTTCAGGGAGAGTGGGCTTGGCAAATCCGGGACAGGGGCGTGGCGTGGCGTGGCGGGAAGGTCTCAGATCGTCCCCCTCCCCTTACCAGCGAGTAGAAGGCGGAGGCCTCGGAGCCGTAGGTCACGTAGTTGCCATAGCCCTGCGAGCCCCCGTAGGGGCCCCCATACACGCCCAGCGCCGCGGCAGAGTTGAGCTCGTGGCGCGCGGTGGCCAGTAGCCGGCTCTCGTAGACCGGGCAGTAGACGGGCGCCTGGGCCGACGCGGCGGGCCCCGACTCGGCCAGCGTGCGGCCACCCGACTCGCAGCACGTGCTCAGGGAGTTGGTGGTCATCAGGAACTGGAGGGGAGACGGGCCGCGAGGAAGGGCGGGCGCGCGCGCGGCTGGGGCTCTAGGCCTCCACCTGCCCTGCTCCCGGCCCAGGAGGGCGCCCCGTTGCCTGCGGCGCGCGCGCGCTCCTTCCCGCCGGGAGTCCGCCCTGCCGGGCTGCTTCCTCCAGCCCCTTGGGGCCGCGCCCGTCCAGGCCCCGAGTGCACACCCTCCCCGGGGGGTCCGTCCCTGTGGGGGGGGTTCCCGGGCCGCGCACGCCCTCCTGTGTCACGTCTGTCTTGAGTCCCTGGGCTCCTCTGGGGCGAAGCCGCGGGCCCGGGGTGGGGTGCGGGTGGGGGTGGGAGTGGGGGTCAAGCAGAGCTGGAGAAACGGGGCCCCGCACGTCAGGCTGTCTCAGCGCCCCTGCGCTCCGCCGGGCTGGGCGCGAGGAGCGCGCGGCACAGGCCCGGCTCCCGGCGGAGCGACGCCGCGTGGCCGCACCGCCCGCCCGCCCGCCCGCCCGCCCGCGTGTCCCGCCGCGTTCCCCGCACCCGCGCAAGGCCCCTTACCTGGGGTGCGGAGGAATACGGGTATCCAAACTGCGGGTAGGACATGGCGGGCGCGGCCGGGGCCGGCGGGCGGGGCCGGCGAGGTCCTGCGCCGCGGTGGGCGGCGCGGCGCGGCCACTGCTCCGGGGCCGCCGGCTCCTAGGCGCTGGGAGGGCGAAGCAGAAGAGCGGGTTACTTCATCCACACGCCCCGCAAACTTTTCTAACCCGGTAGGAAAGTGAGCGGCGGCGGCCGCAGCGAGCCTGTTGGCTTCACATTCCCGAGCCTCGAGGGGGCTCTGGGACCAACCGGCCTCGCAGCGGCGACACAAATACATATTTTGCAAAAAAGGAAAAAAAAAAAACCGAGTTGCGCGAACCCAAGTCAGATGTGCGTGGCTTTAAGCGGCGGAGGCGCTGACGTCAGCCCACACCGCGCACCGGGCCGGGCCGCAGGCGCGCGGGTCACTGGCGGCCGCGCGGGGCGGGGACGGGCCGGGGAGCCGCGCGGGGCGCAGGGGCAACGGGCTCTAACCAACGAATTCCATCCGTGGAGTCACTACCGCCCCGACGAAGGCTGCTTCTCCTTAGTCGCCGAGAACGGGAAGCACTTTTAATTAGAAATTAATTAATGAGCACCTGCTCCTTCCCGCCCCACTGTAATCATTAGTCTCAATTACAAATGAGACATGTGAAGGGACACACGAGTGAGTCTCCATGAAGATGTAATCAACAGTTAAAATTAGCCCGGCGCTGGCGCTGGCGCTGGCGCTGGTGCTGGCGCAGGCGGCCACCGCCCGGCCTCCGCGCGCCGCCCCGGGTGCCCGAGGCAGCTCCGCGGCCGGCGCGCCGCTCGCACTATTGTTTAGCTCGGCGGCCGCGCCGCCGCCCGCCAGTTCGAACCCAACTCCGGGGCGGAGCTCCAGAACCCAAAGCGGCTGCGAGTGTCCGCGTCCGGAGGTCAGGAGGCCCTCGGGTGTGTGGGTCCCGAGGCCCTTCCCGGAGCCATCCACTCCGGGGCTCGGTGGCCCAAGTGCGGCGGGGCTTGGCGACTCTCCGCCACCGCGTCCCCGGGGAACGCCCCCTCCTCCGTCCCACCTCCGGTCCCGTGCGTTCCTGCGCGGCGAGCGACCCTCCCTTTCCTCTTCCACCCCCTTCCGCGGGCCGCCCTCCCTCAGCCTCCCCTGCCCCTCGCGGCTAAACCGGGGACTGCCAGACGTCCCCGCACGCTCGGAAGAGCAGGTTTCCCGCCTCCGCTCCGGGGCCCCTCCCGGTACGCTGGCTGCTCCGGGCGACCTTCAGGGTTAGGTGCCGGGGAGGGAGCGCCGGGACGCCCTTCCCCGCCAGTGTCGCATAGCTCAGCGCCCGGGGCGCACGGAGCAGTCTGGGTAGACGGCCGAGTGCCCACCCCGGGACTTCCCCATTCAGTCCGGGTCCTGGGACCTTGCCCGAATCCCCAACGGAGGCGAGCGCGCAGGCGGCGGAGGGGCGCCTGGGCACCCCGAACTCGCTCCCCGCCTTTTGTGCCGCTGCCCTGCGGGGACCCGGGCTCGCCCCTGCCGCGCGCTCGCCCCGCTCGGCCTCCCGCGCGGCCGGGAGGGGAACTGTGCGCGGCGGCGCTGTGCAGACTTGCTCGGAAAGATTCCTGGGTTCAGACCTGTGAATCGCCCCAGGGTCACCCTCTAATTAATGATGACGTTCTCGCCCTCTCCCCAGCTGCAAACCTGCCTCCCAGAAACGAAATCTGCCCGCTCTGACAGCTCGGTTGAAGGTGATTGATGACTATCTGGAGACCACAGTACGCATCATAAGATATCTGCTGCGTAATTGCTTTAATTTACAGATGAAAATACGAGCTCTCCGATCGCGTTGAACCACAGCCGGCCACGTCCGAGCTGCTTGCGAAGGAAAATCATCGGAAATAATGAATAGCCGCTCCATGCAAATTATTCAGACAGTTTAAGCGTCTGTAGCCGGGAGAGATATATAAAGAACACGAGTCAAATGACATTAATAATTGTTTCTGAATTCTGTATTGATCTCGTGGCAGCCGTGTTTATTTCTTTCTCACCTGAATTGCTAATATCACCTCCTGTAAATAATAAGAAACTAGCCACCGGGGCTTCTGGGCAGAAATGAATCTCTCCATCTCTCTCCTTCTTCCTCCTCTGCTCCGCCCCTCCCCCACCCCCTCCTCCCAACTCCTTCCAGCTTTCCCGCTTCTGCTGAGGCTTTTCTGAACATCCTCCTACTTTCCATTATTTATTGTTTACAAACAGCCTCGCTCTCTCCCGGTAATGAGGCCCGGGCGAGGGAGGGGCAGGAGCCCAGGATGCCCCAGGGCCCAGGGAGCAGTAATCAGGATAGAAGGTGCATTCAGCATCTTTTCCTCGCCCACTTCCCAGGGCCCAACCCCTGGCGACTGTGAGCACCCGGGCCGCGGCGGACGACAGCCAGCGCCCAGGTCCCAGGGCCCCAGGCTCTAGTTCGCAGAGCAGCGCGCCCAGGCTGGTTCCTTACCCGGGGCCACAGCTGGAGGGGAACGGCGCCCCCTGAACACACACATCATCGTTTATCTTCTGAGCAGAGGTGCCCACCTTCGGGCACAGCCCGGCGGTGGGGGCCCCTGGGGGAGGGGTGTCAGGGGCTTCTTTTGACCATCACTGCCAGGTTTTCCTTTTCAGCCTCAGTGCCTCAATAGACGCTCTCAGTCCCCACCCGCCTAGCCTGGTTCTCCCGGGGAACCTTTCCTTCTAATCCAGAAATGAAGCTCACCGGAGACTTCCCAAGGCCATTGCACACTGATCCTCCGCTTCGTGCCGCCCCAGGCCTGCGACAGGGCGGCCTGTATGGCTACCCTGCTTGGGGAGGCTCTGCTGCCGGAGGAGCCTAGCGACCTTGCCACCGCTCACCCAGGCCCTGCTATCTAATCCCGGATTCGGGGTTAGTCAGGCCTGTCTCCAATCTGGAGCACACCCGGGAAATCTCGCTGACAGCCTGCGCCCTGGCTGAGGCAGGCCTCCTGGAACCGGGATACTTTCTGGGTTATCTTGGCCCTGTAGAAGACACCAGAATAATATTCGAGTGACCTTTCCTGAAAGGCTGAGCCTTGAGCTGAGCACCGGGTTTTCCTCCAAGAGAGGATACAGCAGGAGTGTCAGCATCTCCGGTATCACCAGCTCAATGCGCCACGTCCCTCGAGGGACCCTCGGTTCTAAATACACCCAGGAGAGGCTTCCCACGGACAGGGCAGCAGCTCAGCTTCCGTTAAGTGCCCCTACTGGCCTGTTGAGTACTAAAGGAGCCCAGGGCGAGGGGGCTGAGGATGGTTAGCGCCGAATGTGAGAGGCCTGTGGGTCGCCCTTTTTGCCCAAAGGTGCTGTAGGCCGAGGAGAGGCCTCTGGGAGACAGGCCGCGCCCTGACATTCTTCCCCCGCCCCCGAGGCCGGCTGGCCCAGGCCGGTTCCCTCAGTCGACCCCCGGGGCCACCTGGTTCTCCGCACCGAGAGCCGCCAGGGGCTCTCTCCAGCCCAGCCAAGTTGACCCCAGGCAGAGGGCGGAGGCTCGAGCGCGCAGGCCAGGCTAGGGCCTCCGCCGCCGCCGCCGCCGCCGCCGCCGCCGCCGCCGAGGCATGGGGCCAGCCCTCGGGGCGCCTGTGCCCGCCCACCGCTCGCGGACACCCGGGGCGGGGTGTGGGGCCGAAAGGCGCTCTGGGCTCTGGATATCCGCGGCGCGCCGCTCGCCAGCCAGCCCCGAGGTCGGCAGGTCACTCCTTCGGGGCCGGTCCTCCCGGTCTCCGCGAAGTCAGGCGGGCGAGCTGCAGGCCAGCGCGTTGAATCCTGCTCCCGAAACGCCTCCATCCCAGGTCGGCTCGCTCCAGCTCTCCCGCTGCGCCCCCGCCGCTCGCCCGCAGGGCGCTGCCGGAGCGGGAAAGGCGCGCAGCCGGGGCGTCCGGGATCAGGCCCGGCGGCCCCGCGTTGGCCCCCGCGCCCCGCGCCGCCCCCACACCCCGTCTCCGCAACTTGCGGCGAACGCCCGGGCCTCGGGAGACCCCAGCGGCTGGCAGCAAACTTTGTGCCCTCCGGCGCGGAGCGATCCTGGCAAAGTTTGTGCGGCCGAGCCCACTCCCTACCTGCGCTGGGGACGCGCCCGCCCGCGCCGCTGGGGCGCCGGGGCCGCGGGGAGCAGCGCGCAGCCCGGGACGCACCGGGGAGTCGCCGCAGTCGCCGCCGCCCGCGCCCCTCGGCGGCCGCGCCGAGCCTCCGCCTCCCCGGGAGGGGGGAGGGGTCTCGGAGCCCCGGGGCGGGGGCGGGCGCGGGGACCTCGCCTACCTGCGGTGGCGCCCGGCCACTACCGGCCGCCCGCGAGGGCTCTGCGCGGCCGCTCGGCGCGCGCGCTCCGGCGGGGAGCCGGCGACAACTAATGGAGACATTTCCAGGCGGAGCACCTGGCGAGCGGAGCGCGCCGGCGTCCCCAGGCGCCGCGGTCGTCAGCCGAGCCCGCACCGGCGTGACGTGGGCGAGCGAGCGCACTGCTCCCACCCGGCCGCCCATTAACGCTTTCCCCCGCGGGCGCCGCGCGCTTTTGCCAACTTTCCCTCCGCCTGGCCCGCGCGCGGGGTGCGTGGGGCGCCTGAGCCGCGCCGAGGGGCGCCCTGGGGTGGGGGCGGGGGCGGGGGCGGGGGCGGGGGCGCCCTGCGCAGGGGAGGCAGCCCAGCCGCAGCAAGGCCGCGGGGAGGCTCGCAGCCCTCATCTGGCCGAACCCCGGCGGCTTGGGCCAGAGGGAGCCGCCGGCCCCAGGTCTCCTGACTCCCCCCTGGCCGTGGTGTCCCCCGCTCCGGACAGCTGGCTGAGGGGCGGCTGAGCAGGAGGCTAGGCCACCAGGCTCCCGCCCTCGGCTCTCTGGCCTGCACTGCCCGCCCCTGTATGGCCCCTTCACCCTAAGGGAGGCTGCTTCACTGGCTGCCGTCCACACAGGCCCCTGCCGGCTCCAGCTGCTTGGGCAGCAGCGGTTGACTTGGTGAGGGTGCTAGGGCTTGGGTGGCTGGAGGTGGGTGTTCCCAGGTAACAGAAAGTGCTTGGGGGCCAGCAGGCCTGTGACCTTCCCCTGGTGGGGGCCTGACCTGGGAGCTTTCTCAGGGCAGTCCAGAGCGCTCCTGGGCTGGGCCTCTGGCCTGGGGACACACCTCCCCCTGAATAGCCTGTGGCTTCTGCAACCTGAGTCCAGGATGGAAGTCATCCTGGGTAGGCAGGTCCCAGGTCCCTCAGGGGGGCGCTTCTGGCCCTGACCCCCTCCCCCATCCGTTCAGAACCATGAAGTTCTCTTCACAATCTGTGGCCTTGTAGTGACATTGAAGATGTGTTGATTGGATAATGTCTAAAAAAGTTATTACCATCCACCTCCCCCCCCCCCCGCCTTCTTTTTCTTGAAAGCTCTCTGTAGCAGCGGGAAGGCCTGCACATGTCCCTGCTGCCCCAGCAGCGCAGGGGTGGGGGCTCAGGGGTAGAGGGGTGAGGGGGTAGGGGGTTGGTGTTTGTCCCCAGTCCTCTGGCACACTTCCGTTTCCTCTGCAGAGCAGAAAGAGGAGAGCCAGCAGTCCCCGGCTTCCTGGCCCTGAGCTGAGTCCAGAGCTTCTGCTGGTCTCTGGGAAGGACACAGCTCTGGTCCTGGGGTTGCTCTGAAAACATGAAGGTGGGCTTCCTGTGGCTATGGGCCTACAGGCTCCATTCAGATGTGCAACATCCGTGTGCCCTTCCATGTACCTGGGTTGAATGGAGGGGGTGTGGGAGGGGTGCCCTCTGCGTAGGGAGGTTGGGAAACATTCTCGGGGCAGCCAGAAGGAAGTGGAAGAAGGACCCATGGGCCGTGTGGGGAGGGGGCTGCCCTCTGTCCCTGCCCTGCCCTCAGTGTCCTCCTCCCTCTCCAGGCCACAGGAAGGTCTTGGCAGGGCCCTGGGGCCGACAGGGACAAGCATGCCAATCCCTCCCTGCTGGGCTCACCTGGGACTCGGATTCTTTTCATAGCTGCAGATAAGCAAGGCATGTTTGTGTCTACAGCCTCGATTCGGAGATAGACTGGTTCTGCATTCACCAGGGCTTTTGAACAACAGCAGCAGCAGCACACGGGTGAGAAGCATCAAGGCCCAAGAGGAGCAGAGGGCGACTGGCTGCCCAAGAGGCGCTGCGTCCTCCGGGGGCCCAGAGCCCGGACGGCAGCATGCGTGCCCTGGAGACAGCACTACCCTGGAAGGTAGGGGATCCACCGCCCTTCCCTGGGAGGCAGCTTCTCCTTTCACTGCACTCCCTGAGAGCCTGTCATTGGTGTCGCATCATTTGGCCATTGCCAGGCCTGACCTTGCCCAGGTCCTTGGCCAACCGACCAGAAGCCTCGGTGGCCGCCCTCTGCTCCTCGGCCTCTGGCTCCACTGCCGCCTTCAGGGAGCCTCCTGGGTAGGTGCTCTGAGGAAACGAGGGAAATGCCCCAGGTCCTGGCCAGAGGGCCTAGCAGGGAGCATCCCTCTTTGGCATCAGGGTGAGTGATCAATCCAGAAAGCCAGTCTGCAGCTGTGGCCACCTCTGAGGGACCACACGGCTCTGGGGGCTGGCTGAGGGCGAGCCCTGGCGCGCACCCTGCACAGTGACGAGGCTGCCAGCTGTGCCCACCACTGCGCCCCACCTTTGGTCAGGGCTTGCTTCCTTTACGGATCCATTGTCTCTCAATCCATCTTTTGTTTTTGCTGCTGGCAGAGCTCCCCTATGCAATCTGAAACAGAAGTCTCCGTGCCCCCAGGGCTTGGCCCTGCTGCTGCATCCCCCCCTTGCCTGGACGTTGCAGCAACATGCAGAGGCATCTGGTGGTGGAGAAGGCTGTGCTGGCCCAATTGCTGCCTGCTGCCTGCCATCGGTGGGGGATCCACAGCCTGTCCCACCTTCCTGGGGACCCAGGAGGGCCCAGAGGCTCCTGCTGAGGTCCGGGGCCCCTGGGAGCAAGGCCCCAGAAGGACCACTTGGTACCACTGGGCGCCGTGTCCCACAGTTGCCCTTGTCTTTGGAAAGGCCTGGCCTTCTGGGCCTCCTTGGCCTGACTTCACAGCAAAGCAGTGTCTGGGGCCCAGGTCTAAGGGTGTTGAGGGGAGACCCAGCCATATCTCTCATCTTTGAATGAGACCTGTTCCTCACCTGGGGCTGCAGGAAGAGGGGGTAGGGGTCCAACAAAAGTATCTAAAGCAGAAAATCAGAGTGACTTCTTTTTCAGAACCAAGGGGTGCCTGGGTTCAGGACAGCAATGTGACCCTGGCCGTCGATCAGAGGTGCAAGTGGTTGCAGCTCAGAGTGATCTCGTGTGGACTGACGGCCGTGCCTCCTGTGTCACGTTTTCCTCTCCTGCTCACCCCGCCCCTCATGAGCTTGGAAGGAGGCCAGGGGTGCAGGAGTTGGGAAGGATTTTTTTCTCCTTGTGTCAGAAATGCCATGTCCTGTTTGTAATGCTGAAACATACCCGCACACTGCAGGGAGGTTTCTTCTCTTAAAAGTGAGAGGCTGTTCATTCAAACAATGTCTGTAGTCTGTATGGTTAAACTCGAGACATTTGCCTACTGCAGGCTGGAATCACCAACGCCGGGCTAGGGAATGGATCCAAACCCGAGGATGGAACTTCACATCGTAGAGCCAGTAGTGGTGGACGTCATGGCCTGGAGTTTGCACGTGAAGGTCCCAACAGAGGGGCAGGAAGGAGGGTCTAGAGAATGGAAAAAGGAGGGTTGAGGTCTCCAGGGGCAGGAGCTCATCCTTGGGACTTCAGAAACACTTAACGGCAGGTGGGGGGCCCCCCAACGGAGCCTCACGGGGCATCCTGCCAGAGCTCGCAGCAGGAAAAGAGCGGGGTATGCTCTGGACTGCCTCGTTCACGTGCACTGCTCCCTAGAAGTTGCACACAAACGCTACGTTCACATGTGGACGTTGACGAGAGCCATTAGCAGAGAAGAGAGGCAGAGGTGTGGGTGCAGGTGCAGCGGGGTTGGCGGCTGTCCCGGTCCCTCATGAGCCGAGTGCACTGTGACCCCCCCCTGCACTCCCAGGTGCTGCTCTCGGCCTGAGCTGCCCTCCGAGATTTGGCATGATGACCTCTCCACCCCTGGCCAGGGGTCGGAGGTGTGTGTGGGCTGTGACCGCAGTGCCCTCACATAGAACCCGCGAACGCAGGGACCCTGTGCCCACGTTGGCTGGTCTGTAAGTGAGGCGCCGAATTGCCGTGCCTTTCGCTGCCTTGCGAACGCTACTGTGTCCCCTTGAAGGGGATTCGGGAGAGCATGCTGCCACCCTGAGCAGTGTCCTCCCGACCCTGGGGGCCTTACAGATGGTGCCGTAAACCCCCGTGCAGCTGGCGGCGCTCCAGCGGTGACCGGTGTAAAGCACCGGCTTTTAATTATTGTGGCGGTAAATCATACAGGAATGTCCTCCAGGACTTAGCTGATTTTTATATAAAAAAACCATTTCAGAGTATTTTTGAAATTCAATTAATTGAAGGCCCCAGATAAAAGGAACACATTCTTAATGGCTATAAAATAACCCTCGGGGAGGAGAGGGGACCACAGAACTCGACTTCAAAGTGTGACAGAAATACTTACTGATTTACTTTAAAAGTATCCAGATCAATGACTCAGTCAAAATTACTTCTACATTTAGCAACCTTTTCATTTTCTGCTTAAATATGGCAGAAAGAGACGCTCTTATTGCCCGTGACACAAAAGGTCCTGTAAGGAACTGTGATCCCTGATGCTCAGCGGGACATGGCACCTTCTCCTCCGCGGGGCTGACCGTCAACATTCGGGGCTCGGAGACCCAAGTGGAGGAGGTGTGTCCGTGTTCCTGGGCTGCATCACAAAGTGCCACAAAGTGGGTGTCTCTCTGGGGTCTGGTGGGGAGACGCCCAAGACCAAGCCCTTGGCGGGGCTGGTGCCCCGGAGGCATGAGGCAGGCCCCACTCCAGCCTCGCTCCGGCCTTGGGTGGCTGCTGGCCACCTGGGGTCTGGACCCATCGTGCTCGCCTGGCGCTCTCCCCGTGTGTGTGTATTGGTCCCCCCTCTAAGAGGCACATGGTTGTCTGGGGTTAGGGCTCACTCTTTCCAGCACATCCTCACCCAGTTACTCCTGTGATGACCCTGTTTCCAAACGAGGGCACACTCTGGGGTATTGGGGTTGAAGCTGCAATGTGTGCATTCAACCCACAGCACAGCAGCCTGGGCAGCTGCATGTTCACCTGGGTTTATTTCTTCAGATTGACCCCACCCCCACTGCCTCATCAGCACTGTCAGGTCCACAGAAGGGAGAACCCCTTCCCCCAGACCAAGAGCACCTCCTGTGTGTCCATCGGGAAGGATCACATGGCACCCTCATCCCTAACTGCACGAGGCCTCTCAGTCACCCCGGCCCCGGGGCAGCTGAGGGGAGTACGTGAGAGCCAGTCCTCTCCTGTCTCCCTCCTGTATTTTATCACCATCGGGCACATTGTATCATTACTTCATTTCTTTGTCCTTATTCCCTCCCCTCCTGCACTAGAATGAATGCTTCAGGCAGGTTGTTTTGTACGTAGTAGGTGTACAGTAAACACACAGTAGGGGCTTGGTGAGTGTGGAGTTGACGAGGACGTGTGCACGGCATTCTTCATAGAACAGCAGAGTATGGAGGCACCATTGGGAGGGCTCTTGCACCTGGAAGGCCACAACTGTTCGTGTAGGGGCCCTGATGGAGCATCTCCCATGTCCCAGCCCTCTGCGGCAGGTTTCGGGATGTGCCAGCACACGGAGGGAAGAAACCCATCAGCCCTGCTGGAGCATACTGTCCTCAGAGAGGGGCAGATGGGACAGTCAACAGCACGAGTGAAGGCATCACTGAAGGAGCAAACTATAGGCGCCACTGAATACCCGCCTTGGGTATCTGCACCACAACGTTTCTGTGGACTCAACACACTATACTGTTTCCAGCCCTAACTTCTGGGGGGGGGGGCGATGACCTGCTCTCACTGTGTGGTGTTTCCGTCTGGCTGGCTGCACTTTTGCCGGCCTCCAGAACATTGGGCCCTTTTGCGGACCTCCCTGGGGTTTATTCTGATGAACTGGCTGAGCAGCGGCAGCCCCGTGGTGACCACATTCTCTGAACTTTGGCTCTCCCAAGGTTTTACCAAAGGCTTGTATAGTCATAGGAGGCACTGTGGACTCTTCCCAGCGTGATTGCTCTGATATTTCTGGTTCACAGCCTGCTCCATTTTGCCTCTGGTCAAGGGTTGCAATGAGTCCTTGCTCGCGGCCAGCACTGGGGGTGCCTTTATGCTGCACACAAGCTCCTTTGCCTGCTGCCAGGGAGGCGCTGGACCTTGTGACTGTCTCTGGCTGGCACATCACCCTGTCCCCTTCCACCTGCTGTGGCAGAGGGCAGCACCTGAGATGACAGGGGCTCCAGCCGGGATCCATGGATGAGACAGCCTGCTGACCGAGGCGGACCCACTGTGAGAGTGAGAATCGGCCATGGTTCAAGCCACTGGATGTTGGGATTGTTTGTTATAGCAGCACAACCTGTCCTATCTGGCTCCTACAGTTATTCATGACATTATAATTATGTATGATCGTGTGATTCTGCTGTACATTATATGATTATAAATTATGACTATGTCACTATGTAATTATACATTACGATATAATTTTCTTTTTTTAAGATTTTATTTATTTATTCATGAGAGACAGAGAGAGAGAGAGAGAGGCAGAGACACAGTAAGGAGAAGCAGGCTCCATGCGGAAGCCTGATGTGGGACTTGATCCTGGGACTCCAGGGTCATGCCATGGGCCAAAGGCAGGTGCCAAACTGCTGAGCCACCCAGGGATCCCCACGATATAATTTTCAACACAGAGAAAGCAACTAGAAAGAAATACTGTCTTAAAGGGAAAATACAGTATATGGGCAAAATATACAGTGCCACTAAAGGCTGAAGTGGAAGGTGATGTGTCCGTTATTGCTGCGTGGGCAGGAGAAAATAATGTTTTCAAGAATGTTTTTTAACTTCCACATGAATACTTCCTATTTGTGAACATTTCTAGCAGCCACTGGCCCTACTTCTCTGCCCTGTAGGCTCTCTGTAGGACTGCCTAGGTGTCCGCATGCTGTAGCCACTGGCTGCTTGGACAAGGGTGTCTGGGGGACTTGTCAGCTACTGCACTGACCACCGGTTACATGGATCACCAGGACTGTGGTGGAGGGAGCACTGATGTGACAGGTCTGTGGAACATACAGAAAAATAATGATGCAATTGCATGTTGAAGTTTTAAGGTAGCAGTCCAAAACCAGAGAACCAGAGATGTTCTAGTGTGGCCCTAAAAAATCAAAACCTGTTTCTTGTAGTTTAGGGAGATAAGAATATTTAATATTATAATATTAATAGTAAATAGTAATATTCAGTAATATGTATTATTATTTTATCTAATTTTAATAATCAGTGTCAAATAATGATATTTAATATTATCAATTGTACTTTTGACTAAATGGAAGAAATTGTTTTGACACAGTCATTTACGTCTCTGTGTATGATTTATGGCTGTGTTCCCATCACTCCTTTATCTTTCAGTTTCAATCTTCCCATCCAGGCCCCTTTTGAAGTTTGTTTATCATATGGTGTGAGGTAGGGATCAGCATTTTTTCTTTTTCCTCTGCAGAGGTAGACACTTTGTCCATTGTTATTCATTAAATAATATGCATCACTCATCAAAATATGTATGGTGTATTTTGTCTAATTTTAAGAATTAATTAAAATATTTAAATAATAATTACTATTTGTACTTATTTAATGATTAAAATATTAACTTTATGGGATAGATTTGAAACAGAGTCTTACATTCTTTGACGATAGCTCCTCAATAATGAAAGCCTATCCTTATAAAACAATGGGCTCTGCCCTGTGAATGTGTTACTCCTGTCACATGTCCGTGGCATTGGGAATGTTCGCATTACCCACAATGCATTAGCAGACGGCTGACAGGCATCCCTGCTGACGTCGGAGGCAGAAGCTGACTCCAGCGGGGCAGCAGGGGCAGGTCTGCCATTGCCGCCTCACCCTCCCAGTGACAGGCCACCACTACCACACTGCCAGCCTCCCTTCAGCTACACAAGTACCATGAACAAAGCTTCCGCCACTGGGCTGTGGGAGGATGGTGCACGTGGCTTCCATATGATTGATTTAAGAGGAAACTGTTTGCCCTCTGATTCTACTTCTGTACCCCCAACCTTTGCTGGGAAGGGGTAAGAATTTGTCACTCGGGTTTCAGAAGCTGTGTCTTGAGCTTGGCACAGCTGCCTGCCTAGACCACCATAGTCTTTGGTCTCTGGTAGGAGAGAGGACTCATGTGTGTGTTCAAGCTGCCATCCACTTGCTCATTAGTTGATGGCAGCTTGGCCTGCACCAGGGAATGGCAGTTGCTTGGTCTTGGGCACAACAGATGGAGCTGATGGGTGAAGGGATGAGCCAGGTCCTTGGTGGGCTTTGCAGCTGCCTACGGGTGGGTGCCTGGACAGGGAGGGAGCAGAGACAGTACAGGGGTCTGGCCATGCCCTGGGGAACACAAGGAAGTCAGGGCCCAGGCAGGAGGATGGTTTGCTGGGAGACGAGTTGTGGCTTGGTGGCACATCTCCCACTATCACTCACACTGCCTCTGTGTGTGTGTGTGTGTGTGTGTGTTTAAGATTTTATTTATTTATTCACAAAAAACACACAGAGAGAAGCAGAGACATAGGCAGAGGAAGAAACAGGCTCCCTGCGGGGAGCCCAATCTGGGACTCAATCCCAGGACCCTGGGATCATGACCCAAGCTAAAGGCAGACATTCAACTGCCGAGCCACCCAGGCGTCCCTGCCTGCAGTTTTCTGTACATTAGACTTCATGGAGGAGTGGTGGTCAGAATTTAGGAGAACAAAACATTTGTAAAAGTGACTGAACATAGTACATCATTAGGTTCTTCTAAGCACATTTCTTCATCTTTTCTAATGTTAAATGGTTATAACATCAGACCTTCTGGAAATGATGTCTCCTTCTCTATGCACTTCCTTCCTGGCCTTTCCCCAAACCCTGGTGGTCTTCGCATCCCACAGACTTCCATGGCGGCTGTCATCTAGCCCACCCAGTACACACTGCTGGCATGGGCGTGTGTGTGAGCGGTGGGTTTCCTGGGCACATAGTGTGCACACCCAGAACCATGGCAGGTGGGCTGGGCCTTGTTCGAGGTTTGGGGTTCTTGCCTCAAGGATGCACACCTGCTCCTCCAGAGACGCAGCCTCACAGCCTGGCATCCTGACAACCTGCTGTCTTCCCTTGGAGGGAAGGTGTCTGCAGGCCTGTGGGGGCCAGCTGCTTCCTCATGAGATGCCAGAAGCTCCCAACTGCCCAAACCCAAACACTATCCCAGGGTTTGTGTGATCTTACTATTCCAACTCCCCAAAAGACTTAGCCACCATATTTAAGAACCCTTTGTCTGAGGACTTGTTCTGTTTCATGGTATGTGAAAGGGGCTCCTGTGTGTGACATTATTCCTGGAGCCTGGGTAACATGTATGGATAGCTCTGCTCTGCAGTCCAAGGAAAGCTCAGCATTACACTCACCTTTCTTCTTGGGATGACTGTCAAGGCTGGTACTGCGTCCAGGGGACCCCCATCTGAGCCAGCTGGCACAGCTCAGATCCTCCTCTCCCGGCAGGGCCTTCCTGCTACCCGGGGCAAGAGGCTGTCTGATATCTTTGCTGTGGGACGTGCTGGTACAGGAGAACACTAGACATGAAGTCACCAGAGGCTGTGCTCTCCAGACTACCTAGTATGCTGTGACAGGTTCAGATTCTCTGGGGTCTTGGCCCCCTGGGGCAGCAGGCTCGAAGCCTGGGGTGTGGGAGCAGACTGGTGCAGGTGTCCATGGGGTGTCCATCTCCCTCGCCTCCCCCACTGCCCCCCATGACTGTGCTGGCTGTTGGTGGTCTTGTGATGGGGGTGGGAGGGGTGGTCATCTAGGCAGAATGGAAGCCCCTCAAACACCAGGAGCCTCTGACCGTCCATGCCGGCCACCAGTTGGAAGAGATGGGATCTCATTTTGAGTCTTCTGACCTTCACAGTTTAGGTGAACGTCTCCCACAACATTAAGGGAAGGTTGCTGGTTTTCTCCTTAATTCTTAGTGGAGTTTTCGGGACCTGGGAAATAGGCTGAGCGCCCTGAAAGATCGTGAGCGCTGAGAAATTTTCTGCAGACTAAAAGTTCCCAAACACATTGAGCTGGTGGTTTGAAAATGTGCTTTTTGCCCACATTTCTCTTTGCAGCCACCACAAGACAGAAGAGCACATGGGGGCGTGGGATGTCCGCCTCCGTCTGTAGCCAAACACTCCATGGAGAACAGCAGGCACTCACAGGAGGCAGTGTTTTCATAGGAAACCCAGAAACAGCAAGCCTGTGTTTTTTCAGTGTTTTCCTGTGAATCCCAGAAGCTGGTTCGCGTGTGCAGGTTCTGGACAGCTGTGCAGGCCGCCGGTCCTCCAGGTGCGGGCACAGCGGACAATCAACGCGCCTCTTCCTGGCCTCGCGCCTCTGAAGCACTTTCCTGTGTTTGCCTGTGAGCCACTTTTCTAGGTCTGATGTTGCCATGGTGTCGCCTCTCCCAACCCGGGATTGCCGTCTTTTGGGGCCGTCGTGGCACGGGCGACCTGGCAGGTGGTGTGCGCTTGGCCGCTGGGCACGGCAGTCCACAGACTCACCTGCGCTCTTCCGGCTCCGGTGCCTCCCGTGACGGATGAGCCTCAGCGGCGTCAGAGGCAGGGAGGCTTGGCGGGCAGGCGTGGCTGCGGAGGTGCAGCCACGACCCTGCCCTCTGAGCCGGTGGGGTCTGATTCCCAGAGGGGTGACGTCGGAGCCCAGCCACTCCAGACCCGCTGCTGCATCCGGGGACTCCTTCCAGGGGCCGGCCGCTGAGGGGCAGGGGCTCTCCAGCAGCTGCCGGGAGAGAGGATGGGCTGTCCGGGGCGTGATGGGCGAGGCCGGATGGCAGCGGGACTCTTGTCCTGGTTCATCTTTCGGGTCCTCTCTACCCTTTATCCTCTGTCTGATTTTTTTGTCATTGGAGAGGACATGGGGCTTTTGTCCTGAGGAGTTTGCGGCGTTCCTGCTTTGCTGAAGGCACCCCCGCCGAGCTGGTTCGCCCGCACCTTCGTCCCCGTGTGTCACATGCCCTGGCAGCTGCATCTGGGGCCCGAGCAGCGGGACTGCTGGAGGGTGTGCGTGTCCGCGAGGCATTGCGTCCTCTCCGCTGTGCTGCTGACGCCGCTGCTCAGGTGGGCTCGGGGAGCCGTGGTTTGAGCTCTGTCATCGTCGCTCATCTGGGAGCTGGGACACTTCTCAGGGCCACGCGCCCTGGCACTGTCGGTTATGTGGCAGGAGAGGCCGAGGGCACGTGAGTGGATTCTCAGAACCCTCCAGAGGAGGCACTAAGGGCTGTGGTTTTGAGACTCCACATTGCCCCTGGGATTTGAACATGGTTCCTGTGTTTTGAGCCATTATCATCCTTCCTGGGGCTTAAATAAGACCCACTGGGAGCTGCTGGGAGCTGCTGGGAGCCTCCTCCCCCCGTCCCTCTGACATGGCCCTGCCAACCTGGGTAGCTCGGTACTTTCCTGGTGCGACAAGGTGTTCCGGGCTCGTCTGCACATTTCCATTCCCTGTCCGGCTTTCCCGCAAACTTGGCTGCTTCTAGAGGCTGGTGGTATTCATAGGCCACGGCCCCCGACACTGTGTCACCCCATGTTTTTAAGAAGGACACAGGAGGTGTCCATGGGGCACAGCCAGTCCCCTTGATGTCCGTCTGTTCTCGCTGGGATGTGCGGCCCACCGCGGGCTGCCTGGCTTCTCCACGAGGGGCCGCAGCCCAGCTGGACGGTCTACTCCTGACCATGACCACGGGCGCGCTTTTGCTTGTCTTACACATTTCATATTTTCCACATTTTATTTATTCTAGAAATGACGTTTTGCCTCATAAAAAGAAACGTTACTTTATATCAAGGGGTAACATTTTGTGCTCAGAACTCCCAAGGAAGGTGCAATTTTTATGAAAACGGCAGCACACAATGCTGCAGAGCTCAGCTCAGGAGTGTGGTGAACAAGCATTGCGCTTCGTTTCCCTGGGTCCGTCGGCTGTTTTGCTGTGGTCGAGGCAGGTGGCCTGGTCGGTCAGTGGGTTCCTGTGCCCTGTGAAGTGACACGAAGGGGACGGTTTTGAGGAACATGAGTATTAGAGTGGCCTCACCTGCCTCCTGCGATGCCTCGGTCCTCCTGCCTCGGTCCCTGGGCGGCCAACTTCCCCAGGACGTCTCTGACCAGGAGCTCGTTCCCAGCAAGCAACCCCGGGGGTCCAGCTGTCGTGGTGGAAGGAGGCTGTTGGCAAAGAGGCTGCCGGGAGAGGCAGCGAGCAGGGCTCCCCTTCACTCATCATTTCTGGAAGACCCCGCTCCCATCACATTACGATCCTACCTCCCAGTGACACGTCACCAGAAACAGCCGTTGGAGTGAGAGGGAGCGGGGTTGGTGCAGGCCACCCAAACCGTGCAGTCCACGTGCGCCAGGAGCGCGTCCCTGCGCAGCCCGGGCTGGCACAAACCCGCTGCAAAGTCGGGGCTGAAAGAGTCCTTTGTTGGTCTGGCTTTTCTTGCTTTTGCTTATTTCTTGTGTCTCTGTTCTGATTTTCTAGTGAGG